TATGATAGTCAAACAAAATTGGATGTACCATGCGGTTAAACGTGATTATCTGACATTTTTCCACACTAATAGTCAGTTTGTTTCTCTGTCACCAATCGGCAAACAAAGTCAACGAGTTTTGCAGAAGCCAACAATCTTCTTGTGTGCGCACCACAATGTACAGCTTTAAATCATCTGCATAGACCAGTTTGAATCCTTCGCCCAAAACCAAAACAGCATCGTTGAAGAACAGAATAAACAGCAACGGTCCGAGATTACTACCTTGTGGAACTCCAGACTTGTTTGAAAACGGCGAAGATACAAAACCCTCAACCTACACTCGAAGTACACGCTCTGTAAGGTAGGATTCCAACCAAAAAACCAATTGCATAGAAACTCCAAGACGAGATAACTTGTGTAGCAGTATGTTATGATCAATTTTATCGAACGCCGCCTTCAGGTCGGTATAAATTACATCGACTTGCGCTTTTTCCTCCATACTTTTTATGCACTTCGACGTAAAATTCAACAAATTGGTGGTAACCGATCGTCCGGGCATGAATCCGTGTTGATCAGTGGATATGTAGCTTTTTGTGGCATCGAGAATAACTCCACCCACTATAATCTCAAACAATTTTGAGACAGCTGAGAGACTCGTGATTCCCCGATAGTTAACAACATTGTAACGATCACCACGTTTGAAATGATGTGTGGGCACGTTGTATTCGCGGCATTTCTGCAGAACCTGCCGCATCGCGAAAATTTGGTCCGTGGTAGCGCGGGCACCCATGAATCCCGCCTGGTATTGCCCCACGAACTCTCTTGCAAATAGTGACAGGCGGCGGCATAGAATTTGGGAGAGTACCTTGTAAACGGTGCTTTTTGTAAATTGAGCATACGACACCTTCCATCCACTCCTCCGGTAATATCTCCTCCTCCCAAATCTTGGTAATTACCCAGTGCAGCGCTCTAGCCAGTGCTTCACCACCGCATTTTAATAGCTCACTTGGTAGTTGAGGTACTCGTCATAGTACTGCTTCCTCCTCTCAATCACCTCAGACTCGTTCGTGAGAAGGTTACCGTCCAAGTCCTTGCACATATCGGCTTGCGGCACGTTGCGCGAACTATTTAGCTTCTCGTAGAGCTTCCGTGTGTCGTTTACGCCGTACAGATTTTCCATCGCCTCGCGATCTCGGTCTTCCTACTGACGCTTCTTCCTTCGGAAAACCGAGTTTTGTCTGTTCCGCGCTTGTCTGTATCGGTCGATATTCAATCTCGTGCGGTGTTGCAGCATTCTCGCCCTTGCTGCATTCTTCTCCTCTACTAACAGTTTGCATTCGCCGTCAAACCAGTCATTTCTTCGGCCCAGGATTGCAGTACCTAGTGCCGCTGCAGCAGTACTACCATAGAGGTAACTCTAAGACTAGTAGGTCCCGAAGAAAATCATTATTATTTTTGGCTCACTCAGTACCAGAACAACGGTCCCAAGCAGTCCCAAGCTATTTCACTCACCCCTGCATGTTCTGCATGAATCCACACACCCCTGAAGTTTTCTGTCAAACTTTCATAGCGAATCAAAACAAACATAGTGTAGTAATAGAATTTCAACTAGAATAGGGTACGTTAATCGTTTGCTTGGGACCAATAGGCTACTAAAGTGGTGAGCCAATTTAAAATCGTTAGTTTCGTATTGATTGTTGGTACTACCTATGGCGGAACGGATGTCCCTCAAGCCATCTTCAAGAGAAGCTACGCCAAGCTGCTCTTCCGTGGGTATTGCAACTTCCAGCTGCTGCTCGTAGTCCTGGTCAACTCCGGCGTCCCGTAGTTGCTCAATGTTGGGTCGCGGCGGCGTTCGACTTCGACGGGTGTTATGCACCGTCGAGAGTTTTGAGCGCATGCATACTGCAACTAGGTAGTGGTCCGAATCTATGTTCGCACTGCGGTACGTGCGGACGTTGATAATGTCGGAGAAGAATTTCCCGTCGATTAAAACGTGATCGATTTGGTTTTCTGTGTGTTGGTCAGGTGATCTTCAGGTGGCTTTGTGGATATCCTTGCGGGGGAAAAAGGTACTTTGAACTATCATACCCCGAGACGCTGCAAAGTTCACGCATCGTTGGTCGTTGTCGTTCGATATGGCATGCAGGCTGTTTGGCCCGATTGCCGGTCTATACATTGCCTCCCGTCCTACCTGAGCATTCATGTCGCCGATGACGCTTTTGACGTCCTGTTGCGGCAGTATGGGCTACAAAATAGTGAGTTGACAACCTGGAAGGAGCGGAATACCTAGCCCTGGTCCTCACAAGTTCCTACTTCACGCCTCCCCGAGTCATATGATAACAAAAGACTACCAACTGAAACATGGACACAGCTGGGTGGCATAGCCTGGGCAATGTTGCCAGTCCAGCATAAGCAAAGTGAAGAGATGCGACGCGAACCCTGGCGCGGTAGCCATAGTACGGTGATAAAGGAAATGCTTCACCAAACCCGAGCGTCTTTTCGCCTTGGAGTTGCGGCTCAAAACGGCGTCTGTTCTCCATGTTAGGAGCCGCCCTGGAAAAAACATAAAGTTGCAAATACTAAAAAAAGAAATACGGATCGGAACAATCGGCACAGACCTACGCGACGAAATTTGGACTACGATTGGTTAATCTATGACGAACTTCAACCACACAACTTCGAAGTCGTAGCACTGCAGGAACAAAAGGTGTGGAAAAGCGGGCATCGAGCGGCTACTTTCTACCAGCGCTGTGGCACCACCAACGAGCTGGGAACTGGCTTTGTAGTGCTGGGTAAGATGCGCCAACGCGTGATTGGTTGGCAGCCGATCAACGCGAGTATGTGCAAGTTGAGGATTAAGGGCCGTTTCTTCAACTACAACTACAACACACGAAGGGAGACCCGACGACGAGAAGGAAGCGTTCTATGCGCAGCTGGAGCAGGTGTACGACAGGTGTTGCGGCAAGTTTTTCACTGAGATCCAGTAAAAAAAAATGCTGTGCTGCTCGGTGGTGCCCATCTCGGCAAAAAAATCGTAGTGTGTAAATCTCAATTTTAAATGGCCGGACAATCTCACGCTAGTGAATCAATCTAGGGAGAATCTTGTTTCATATCTTGCATCTAAATCCATCTACTCGCATCACTCTCCATCTTTTTTTGCAGAAAATCTTCAAAATCTTCATCAATCTTCTCTCTATCTACTAGGCGTGCGCGCATCTCACAACAGACTAGCAGATTTTTTTTCCTGCATCTTAGATAGAGTCGCGTAAACAAACGTCAAAGTCAAACGTAAACAAACGTTTTACGTTTGTTTATGTTTTATGAAGTACCAAATTTGGTCCTCCTGCCCCTGGTAGCGTATTTTCACCATGACTGGACACTCTAAACTGCTACGTCATGTATGCATCTTCCATCATTCCATCAAAATTTGGGTTTAAGTTTGAGATTCACGCATTTTTTGTCTACATTCATTGAGAAAATCGAGGGGTGCGACACATCTAAATCTCGATTTTAAATGGTCGAAAAATCTCACACTAGCGAATCAATCTACGAAAAATCTTTTTTCATCTCTTGCATCTAAACCCATCTTCTCGCATCACTCTCCACCTTTTTGCAGCAAATCTTCAAAATCATAATCAATCGTGTTTCTATCTATTAAGCGCGAGTGCATCTCACAACAGCAAAGCAAAAAATTTCCTGCATCTTAGATTGAGTCGCCCCCCTCGGAGAAAATACTATCAAAGTAACTTCTGAACAAAAAGCTGATGTACGGTCACAAGATAAAAGAAAAATAGTGCAAATGCAATAATTTCCGTTAAATATATTACTAACGAATTGACTCTAGGATCCTACTTATTTAAAAAAAAATCGAAAAACATTAATTGGTGTAAACAATATTTAGCATGGTTGACTTTTTTTTCGGATGCCTCGCTACATGCTCGTGTTAGTAAAGAAAACTAAATGTGAAATCCATGAAACAGCTCAGACGAGAGATTGATAAGTGCTCAATTCATCATATGGAAAACGAATCTCATAAATCCAACATTTTGCGTCCCTATTTGCTTTTCCGATGGGACACTTCAAACAGCTCATTAGCTTCTTTTTTATTCGAACATAATGGATATACAAAAACGCCCATCACCGCACCTAATTTCCGATCCATTGATCCGATTAATCAAACCATTCACGGGAGTTACCAATCGGTTTTGGTGTAGTTTTGTAAATGCAAATCACTACCCTTGCTACCACCAATGCATGACTGAATAAAAAAAATATCGACAGTAAAAAAAAACGACATCAGAACCGATTGTAGCCACTTTCGGCACAGGGAAAAAGCGGCCATCAGCGGACAGCAGAATAAAATTACACACACTTGTTCTTGTGGTGACAAGCAATTTTCACCCTCTTTAGCAATGTTTGCATTCAAAGTCGTACGGAGTTTGAGAGGGCTAGTTGTGGTCAAGCATTTTAGTGGTTTTGTGTTTATTTATGACTTTTTTTTTACCATAACACAACATGGGTAAAGCATTTTGAATTGTGATTTTTCGAAATAAATTGCATTAAATTTAGTTGCAGATTGAGATCACCCAATCGAAAATAGAGGTGAAACAAAATCCGGTTAAAACAGATTTGAGTGTAATATTAAAAACATAAATATTACCATATGGAACAAAAGTAAAATCAACCCATAGATACCACTTTCTCACAGTTGAACCTGGCAGTGTCCTGTGTCTTCACAACCAGTCTGCTTATTGTTAAAAGCGTAAAAACCACAAAAACGAATCTTCCAAAAGCCGCCGCCTTATAGTTCAACCATTTAGCATATCACATCACTTTACTACCTCTGCGTAAGCGTTCTCCACTTCTCACACCCTAATTATCCTTTTCACATTTACGTTTTTGTTCATCGTCCATTCCAGTTTCGGCAGGCCTAATCTAAATAAAAGAAAGAAGAAAAAGAAGAAGAAGAAGAAGAAAAACCTCCTAACCATAGTCCCTTTCTCTTGTTCCTCTTTCAGCGTGACGGTCCCGGGCTATCAGGGCAACCTGCAGGCAGCGGTGTCACACACCTCGAACCTAGCGGCCTGGGAACGATTCGGTGTCGAGTTCATCCTGACCTTCGTCGTGGTGCTGTCCTACCTGATCTCGACCAATTCGTACAAAAAGTACTTTGGCTCGTCGGCGATCGCCATCGGTGCGGCCTACAGTGCATGCAGTTTCGTCTCGGTAAGGATCTTTTATTTTCTTTACTTTTTTTTATCCGACCGATCGAACCCGTAAAGTTCCGAGAAAATTGAACTTAATAACGGGCGGTTGATCATCGACCGATCGATTTCACCGTTGAGTCTGGAAAAGGTTTCTTCACATTGTGCATTCGCGCAACGATTAAGTTCATCGAAATCCATTAGATGCGACCATTTAAAGTCGAGTCAGGTTTGAAAGATTTGAACGAGTTTGTAAAATTACTGAAACCTAAATGATCTGTTTCCTGTCGAAGTACGACGAACATCATGCCTGCGTGAGACTTTTTTTCCGAAGCTGACATCATGCGTGAAAATTTTGAATGCCAAGTACGAGCCGTATTCATAACTCATGTCGATTGCATGATGTCGTCAACCGCGGGAGCAACTTGCTGAACCTATTGGAAATCTTGCGAAAGAATTTTTGCACCAAATACACACACAAACATACGCTGCCACAAGGCAACGTGGTGGGCTATAGACAGGCGGGCCAGGAAGGAAGGACCAGTCCAAAGCCGAGTGCAAAACACCTGCCGTTTTGGTATTTCGCTTTGCGCAGTTGCTTCGCCATGTTTCAGTTTCAGCTGGAGGCCACCCAGCTGATTCGAATGGATTCGGAGGTCTGGAACGGGATGCTGCAGAATTGGAGATGTGAATTCAATGGGATTTAGATTGTTGGTTTGATGATATGAGGTCGATTTTTTTAAATCGTTGTAATTGAAGCTAACATTATTATCTGAGTGGTGCGAAGTCACTCGAAATGGTGGTAAAAAAAACCAACTAGTGATGTCAAAAAAAAAATCAACGCTCAGGACCAACGCCAAGGCTTACGTCTCTTAAACAGATGCGTTCGAAAGATAAAGTGTTAGGATCAAGGAAAATGTAAAGTAATAAAACAAGTGTAACTTAAAGCATATAATATATGTGGAACTCGATCATCAAAAATCGACCCCATTTCAGTGATTTCAAGTAGTATAGAAGGACATCGATCTGTCAAATTGATTATACCAGCTGTAAAATGAGAACGGGGATCAAGAGGCTTGTCAATTATTTTGAATGATTGTACCGTGGTTTATAATTCTATGTGTTCCTAGCACTACTGAACTCATGTCTTACTATTTCCTTAACCATTTATGTGCTTAATTTATAATTGTATAGCTAACTTTAACAAATTCATCACCTTGATTCACTCAACAAATCTGTGGTAAACTTCATTCGCAAGAATTTTGTAAGCAGAACGATAAATGAAATCGAGTGCTTATCTATACCTGCAATATCCAAGATTTCCGTATGTTTCTCAATTGCTGTCAAATGAAAATTTCCTCAAAAATCCAAACACAAATAACTACTCCAATTACTTTTTAACAAAAAAAAAACTTCAAGGGACAGCCCTATGGGGTTGTACGCAATGGTGACGTAGGACTACGTGGTCTTATATAATAAATCATATTTGTTAACTGCAGCAGGAGCTTGTGTTTTGTGTAGGAATAGGAACTTGAGCGGAGTTCTCTCTGTTTTTTTTTTTTTTTTTTTTTTCTTTATTAAAGAGACTTTCAGCCTTGGGCTGGTTCGTCTCTGAGTAGTTCTCTCTGTTTGTATTCTTTAGTATGACGCGCTTGACGGCCCACAGCAACTCACGAAGAGCTACTAATTCCGATCAATAGCTGTGTGGCTTCTTCCTCCATCTATGGATGGTCATGTGGACTGCAGCTCGCTGCTTGCAAGCAGTCTTTAGTTGTGTACTGGAGAATCCCACCACTCACCACGCGGTGATTGAATAAACACCGTTTGGTGAGACGGGATGGAATTCAACTTTGAAATCTGTGTTAGGGAATCGTTTTTTCCCGGCACTCCGTGATTATTTTAATTACCATACCAACAGTTGCATATTCGTGCAATTTTCAATAGTGACATTTTGAAAAATGAAAAAATCTTAACTTTAGCACATGCGTAGAAATATTTCTGATCGATTGGTGAAAGAATTATTGAAATTTGTCCAGGGGCAGCTGAGTTATTAACGTTCAAAATCTCATAATTTTGTTACATGTTCTAGTTTTGGTTTTTACAAAGTGTACCCTCATATAGAAATCACAGACGTAGTCCTACGTCAAAAAACATGGTAAGTTTGATCCTTGTAGATTGAAAAGGTAAAAGAAGAGCTACACACAATCATAACAAAAAAAAATCGACCACAATGGCTAAGGTGCCAGGGTGGGGCTCCTAGCTATCTGTATCAAAGTAAAGCACTATTTATTAACGAAAATAATCGTTAATACGCATCAACTCAATGTTTCGTGATGTAATCATAAGTTGGCTCACTAAAAGCACAGTTAACAATATTTCATCATACCACGGACAAAATGATAGTTTTACACCTATTCACGTAATCCTCAAATCTTCGAATTGTTTGCATTAAATTATATGCAATTGACATAATTTCCGTCATGAATTCAATGCAAACCAATAAGACGAAGAAATAATGCAACTGTAAATAGGAAATATTACTGAATAACAACGCTCTTGATTGGCTTCTGACCGACTTGAAAACACTAGCTAAAAATCCTTTGAAAAGCCCCTGTCGAGCTAGTCGAAAAAAGAATGCTCACACGTCAAACTTATAGTCGCTATATTCATAGTCTGGCGGATAGAATCTCAGGAACCAATCGAACAAATCACGACCAACAACAGAAAAGAGCACATCAGCTATTGCGAACAAAACTTAGGAAACCCTTTTCTCGTGACTCAAGGCTCGTCTACGCAAACTAACACCATCTTTGGGTTGGGGAAAGTTTCCCTTATCCAATGATGCTGGTAATTTGCATTCGATTGGCGAAGAAAGAATAATCAACGTTTTGTTTATAAAAGTTAATAGTACCTTTTCAATTGTGGGTCTAAAATATATTGAATTGGTGCCGCTTTTTGATAGATCAAAATTCTATCCGCCAGACTATGAATATAGCGACTATAGTCAAACTCAGTCAAGCATTTAAACAGCGGACGAACACCATCTCTTGATTTTACGGTTTAGCGACTTTGCAGTCAATTTAATTGTTTATAGGAAAGTTTGAACATACTGAGAGGTAAGCACATATCATCGGTAAGAGACATGTGTGTGAGAAAATTTGCGAAAAAAAATTCTCATCTCATTACGCATAACCGTGACTATTGACAATTCGCCTCTTAGGTCACTCTGTAACTCTTCACTCCTATGGAAAAAATCCATAAGCAAACAACAGTCTATGCGTAAAACTTGGTGAACATTTCCTTACCCTTTAACTCCTATGAAAATCCCATATGATTCTGTCAATCTTTGCATGAATAAAGAGCGGTTTGCTGGAGGAATGAAGAGATAAGACAAAGTCTGCTAGATTTCATGCACAGATTGTCAGATGCTTATGGGATTTTACCAGGAGTAAAGAGTTGCAGAGTCGCCGTCAACGCCAATGCTTACTTTCGTAAGGGCCAATCCTGCAAACGTAAACAATTACTTTTTGTGTGAAATTTCTCGAAAATGAAAACTCCTTCAAGAAAACCAACACCATGATTGTGTAGAGAAAGAGTCCTCCTATACGATAAAATTAGTGACTTACGTGGATTGACTTTGACCTAGGAGACATTTACGAAAAAAGCCATTATTTATGTTTTCGACATTAATCTTTATGATAGCTTTAAGCTGGGTTTTGAATAGGCTAGTCAAATGATCAACTCAGTAGAATTCAATTGGCTTGAAAGTTTGAGCCTGGTTCAACTTTTTTCAATTCAAGTGAGTTGATGAAGTCAGTTGAATGGCATGGTTTACACGTTCAATTCGCATTCAAGTCAGTTGAATTTAACTGACTTGATCAATTGACTTGCCCTGTCTAAATCCATCTTTATTAAATATCGTCTCTGGTGTTGAGTATAGTCGCTGCACACTTAGAAATTATTACCGACTTCGCTAATTTTTTACCGCACTTTCAACAGCTGAACGTTCGGTAAAACTTTGACCCTCATTTTAAAAGCTGTTACACTAAATTTTAATTTCTTGTTCAAATGATCGAGTCCTGCCATTATGGTGAAGCTTTCCTTGTTTTGAAGCCCTTTTTTTCCTTGATTTGTTTTCCGTGCTGAGCACCAATGCTACCGACGCCAGAGAGGCAGCTCCCACACCTGGGACCAACGGCTTTACTTCCCTTCCGTGCGTGATCAGAGATGTTATGCCTCAGAACATCCCGGCGGCGCCGACTGGGGTTGAACCCAGGCCTGCTGGGGTGAGAGGTAATCACGCTTACCACTATACCACCGGCGCCGCTGTTTTGAAGCCCAAAATAATGAATTAATCATTTTGTTCGACCATTTTCCACTGAGATGGCGCTATTCCGCTGGTAGGAAGTGATAAAAATCCCCATATAGAAATTGAGAGAAGTGAGAATAATTCGCTTTCGGTGCATAAAAAGTGAAAAAAAAAAGTGAACGACAACCTAAAGAAATTAATCAGGGACTTTGTCGTTCAGTTTTTTCCCGGAAATTATTGTTAAACAAGCTACAATTAATTAAAAATGATTTTTCCCCATACAATTTTACCTGCTTAACTACCAGTCCCCAGAGAGCCAAAAAAATTCAAATTTGAGAGAGAAATTCTCTCTCACGAGCTCAATCTCTCAACATGCCATGTATTTTGTTGACACTCGATTTGTGATTTCCCTTTCACAGATTACAAAATAGAGTACCTGACACTACAAAACATGTCTGGTACCTATATATATGCATTTGCTTTAACATTTGAAATCCCTCATTTTTTACATATTCTGCGCAAAAGATACTTTATGCCCCACCCCATACATAAAATTCGGCGGGAAATTCAGTGAGGGGTGAGCTAATTTGTGTGCAGAATGTGTAAAAAAGGAGGAACTTCGAATAATAATCTAAATGCATATATAGAGGTACCAGACATGTTTTGCACTGCAGTGTCCTCTGTGAACAATTATAGGAAAACAGATTATGTCTAGTTTCCGATAGATGTCACCGCAAACAACAGCTGTGACATCTGATGGAACATGAATGCAGAAGCTTGACAAAATGATCAATTGAAATGACTGATTTTTAGCGAACAGTTCAGCTGTTGAAAGTTCGGTAAAAATTACCGAACTTGGTAATCATTTCTAAGTGTGTAAATTCATTGTCTGGCGGATATAATCTCGGGAGCCAATTGAGCTGTCAAATAGCCGAACCAATCGAGCAAATCACGACCAACAGAAAAGAGCACATCAGCTGTTGCAAACAAAACTTCGGAAACCCTTTTCTCGTGACTCAAGGCTCGCCTATGCAAACTAACACCATCTTTGGGTTGAGGAAAGTTTCCACTATCCGACGACGCTGGTAATTTGCGTTCGATTAGCGAGGAAAGAATAATCAACGTTTTGTTTATAAAAGTTCATAGTACATTTTCAATTGTTGGTCTACAATATATTGAATTGGTTCCGCTTTTTGATAAATCGAAATTCTATCCGCCAGACTATGAATATAGCGACTATACTCGAGCCACCAGCAACCTCCGATACTTTTTCCAGCATGAACACAAGAAATACATAAATATAATAAATTCAAGCTGAACATTGCATTAGGTCCTAACTAACATTGACAGATTCTCTTCGTCGATTTTCTTCACTTTCTATACCAGACAGAACAATTCAGTCTTCAGCAACGTTGTTCAGCTGGACAATTTCCGTCTGGCAGTGGATAGTTTAGTTCCGAATCGATTCGCTTGGTGGCGCCAGAGTACACGTACATTTCTTCCTTTGATAATTAACCCAGGATCGAGACCAGATAGAAGTTTCCTGTCTTCAGCAAAGTTGTTCAAATGGACTACACCCGTTAATAGGGAATTGACTCACACTACACATAAAGTTCTTCAAAATATTAAATTGATATGAACGTTGACGGCGTTGCTGTAATTATTTGCTCATATGGCAAAATCCCACAAATAACTGTCATTCTGTACGTGAAACATGGCGAACTGATTTGCTTTCGTTCCACCAAATCCCACTAGAAACTGTCACCACTGCCGGATTTAGGATCCAGGGGCCCGGGGCTGCTATAATTAGTAAGGGGCCCCATATTATCTGAATCCGAAGTTTTAATTTCAAATGTAAGATGGTAGTTTTCCTCTTACCATCTTAATATGAAAAAAAAACTTGTTTTAAAAACTAAGAAGAAAATCATTAATTACTGTGTCCGGGGGCAAATTGATCACCGGGGTGAAATTGGTTGGTTGGTTATAGAGAAATCTTGATAGCATTACATTATGAGACACCAACAAGGAGTAAGTCACTCAACACATTGTGCCGAAATTAGATTCGACACAACTTGGGCACATCCATCGGCACACCTTCGGCACAATCTAGTAGGCGTTGGATTGATGTAATTAAAAAGGGAGCACTACTCGACAACTGTTATTGAAATTGTTCACATCATTACTTCCTGTTTGACTGTATATTCAGGAACATCCTCAAATTTAATATACCAGAGGAACTCAGATCAGCAGTTCACTTATAAAAATTATCTAAATACGAAATGGAGGTTTTAGAGTGGGCTTAAGAGAAAGAAGCAGTTAATCAGACCCCATTCGTACCCTTAATCCAAATAATGCTGCAAATCACACAAAACAATCTAAAGAAGTCCATTCATCATCCTCTATAGTCAGTTTCCAACAATGCTCCCCACCGGTTCCAACTCTTTCCTGCCACTGATAGACCGATGCTTTCCACATCACGCAAGGCTAGGTTTCTAGTCTGCCTTTGAGGGCATTATAGAAGACTAAAACACAGGACTTTTATCATCCTATGAACATAAAACACCAACACCAGCCACTTCCCGCGTCATCCTCAATCCGATTTATCCTTGCGATTTCAAACCAAAACATTCAAGGTGTCAGAAATACCGGGTTGCCGGGAAGGGTATTTTACAAACAATCGCAGCTTGCTCTATGACCGGCACAATCGGCACACCTGCGGCACACTGACAAAAAAGATGACCCAAGATTGGTGCACTTGAACTCCGATTGTAGTTTTGACGAGTTTCTCTATACAAAAAGTAGATTTTTCTGCATAATTTACAATTTTATTTAATTGATGTTCAATACCATTCAATATCAGTTTTCAATCATACGAATCATAGGATTGCAACGATTGTTGTCCTTTACTTAAAAATAACATTTTTCATTGAACTAACTGTCAATACGTCTATTATTTTTTTTTAAATCTATGAAATTACCAGTAAAGTAAGTGTGCTAGTTTTTAACCCTAATATGCCTATCTTAAATTTAGTTTTTTGTTTCATTCTTTCCTAAATTTATCTCCATACAAACTTAGAGCATAAACTAGGATGACCTTTTTCATGTTAAGGTGGTCCGAAAAATTAAAAACAAAAATGTCTTGCATCGCTTTTGTTTTTATTCAACACAACTTGTGTGTTGACAGATCGAGGGAAAAGCAACTATTGAAAACATTGCATGACCAAGGGATGCTCCTTTTGCAAACCAATGCTTGGGAATGTACATGATAGAGGATGCTAGTATGCATGCAAAATACGCTTGACGATATTTTTGAAGAAATTCCTTTTAAGAGTTATGTCTGTTTGTCTGTAGTTATGCTATGGAATTCCTGTACAAACTACACTCCTTTTACCATAGAAAGTCACTCGAGAGCTAATTGAGGGGTTTATCAATTTCACCCAATATCTATATCTTCCAATTTAAGTTTTCAAAATGTCCAAAACTAAACAAAACACTAAATTTAACAAATCAATCTTATTAAGAACATCAATTTCGATGTTCAGTAAACAACAAGAACTCAGTCATTGATGCCCTCAATGGCCTTAATTTGCAATTAATCAATTACTGAAAGATCTTTTACCTCAACTAAACAATTGGTGAACAACAAGCTCAGATACATTGGCAGACCAACGTATGGAATTAAATCGGAAGTTCGGAGCTAAACTTTATGATTGAACAAACAATGGAAATAATTTGCTTTAGCAAAAAAAATATGATAAATTATAAAATCCATGAACGGCTTCCTTTCCTAGACGGGGGGGGTCCTGAGGCGATAGCCCTCCTTGCCCTCCCTCAAATTTGCGATCGAAAAAATTACATTGTTTTCTAAAAACTATATCTTTCAGCTGATGTATTGCCCATTGCGCACATTGTAAGTGCGGATACGCTTATAAAAGTGCGCTCTTACGTTAAATCGTTTCGGTGTCTTGGGTGCACTTATTCCTTGATTCATAAGGAATACGTTCGCACAAGACACCAAGACGACACAACGTAAAAGAGCGTAAAAGTGCACTTTTATTAGCAATTCCAATCTTTTGAGGAGTTCAGCATTATACTCAAAATACAATCACATTTCGAAAATTAAATAACTCCGTTGCCATAAAATTAAATTGTGCGTATATTTGAATAACTAATTTGAGTAAAACATGATCCTGGAAAAACCCGTAAAAACGTGCTGCGTTAGAATTTTCATAACCAATCAAATTCCATCATAATAGGCATCCTGGAAAAGGATATCCTTTTCTCGCCCTCTGCAACCTTAATTGTACTGTTCACAGGTAGAATTCCTTCTGATGATGCCATTGTCAAAAATTTCCCCTGTTTCTTTTACTTCGGTTATGCATGTGCACTGCATCCTTAAACATCCATACATTATGGTTTTGTGCCTCATGGTGTCCCACTTTTTTTTATTACGAATGTCTTTGTCGTTTTCCTTCTGCCATGCCTCCTTCCAAACCAACAAACCGATTGCTCTCTCGAGGGCGAATTTAATGCACACACAATAAACTGTGCTGGTTGCATAGATATTTACACATAGGAACCGACTATCGCTTTTTGCTTGACGACCCATGCAGGTCAATTTCGAATTTAGGTCCCGCATCCTTCCACTTTCAGATCGAGATTCTTAGATAAGCCCATGGCAAAGGCGAAAAAACTGAAACATTAACAATTTTTCCCTCTCTCTCTCTATCTTTCTCATATTTCAGATGCCTTACCTGAACCCAGCACGTTCGCTAGGGCCATCCTTCGTTCTGAACAAATGGGACAACCACTGGGTCTACTGGGTCGGTCCACTGATAGGAGGTGTGGTGTCCGGGCTGCTGCATGAGTTCATCTTCAGCACCAAGAAGACTACCAAGAAATCCAAGGAAGACGTAGATTCCAGCGTAAACTCCGACGAGGATATCAACTACGATATGGACATGGACAAACCGCAACAGACTGGGAAATATCATACCTACCGACCGGCAAGTGGAACCTTAGTCAACCAACAGCGGTTCTGCCAGAGCATCTACACTGCCGAACCCACCTCGAAGACGGATCGCGTCGAATCCATCTACGGCGGTACCAAATCCATGTACTGCAAGTCACCCCCATTGACCCGTGCCAACCTGAACCGATCGCAGTCCGTTTACACCAAGAGCAACACCGCTCTCAACCGTGACATGAGCATTCGACCAGGACCTCTCGTACCAGCGCAGAGTTTGTACCCGCTACGGGTCACTCAACCTCAAAGCTCCCACCTGCAAAACCAAAATGTACAGAACCAACTGCAACAGCGTTCGGAAAGCATCTACGGAATTCGAAGCTCCATGCGGCAGCAAGGACCTCCAGAACGAATGCCCCAACAGCTACCTCCACACCCCCAAGCTGGCGATCCGCAGAGCTTTCAGCCTATCTACGGCACCCGGAACAATCCAAACTGTTCGTCTGACGCCCTCAAGTTTGACCGAGAACCACGAGAAAATAGGTAAGCACGGACACAATTATTCTGCATTTTCACCGGTAATATTAACAGTATCTATACTAACAGGTCACTTCTCTAAAATTCTAGCCGCGATGATTCGATGTCGTCCAAGTTTTCCCGTTCCGCTCGACCGGAATCCATGTACGGTCAACGCCGGGTGCAGTCGGCTCAATCGGATGACAGTTCCTACGGATCGTATCACGGACCAGGCCCTGCCATAACTCCACCGACACGGAACGGCAGCAATGGTAGCAGCAACTATAACGTTGCCATGATGATGCCGAACTACGGTCCGGGTCCCGTACCCGGAATAACTCAGATGCAATCGGAGCGCAAGGCATCTACTTCCTCTTCGCAACAACAGCAACAACAGCTTCAACAACAACACCAACAACAACAACAACAACTACAGACCATGGGACAACGAACTCCCTCAACCATACAGAATAGTAACCTCCCACCTCCACCCCCACAACTTCAAAACCATCCCGTTGGATACCCCATGCAGCATCCAGTGCGGCAGAACTAGAACCCCACGGTAGTGGACCTTGTGCCAGAACTAGAACGTGTAAAAAATGTGTGGTTTTCTTGTTTATTAGTTAAGATCAGATTTTAAAACGAATAGTTAGTCCCTTTTTGCCGGTTAAGCCATATTCTAGAGATTTTATTTATTGCCATTCTTCGTCTACAGATTAATTTTAAGACCCCTGATGCATCGAAACACAACGTAATAACAAACAAATCTGATTGAAATGTTACAAGTTATTGACTTTTAAGACTGATGAGACCCACTTTTGTATGTAGAAGATTTATGTATACCCAAGCGATAGTTGTTGATACTTTTTGGATAGGTTTCAATGTGAAATAAATATCCTCTCTCTTATTTCCCTTTTGCGAAGATCAATGACATTCTAAAGTGGCTATCAAAACTATACTCTCCTGATGAAAGATGTAGCAATTTTCATTCGTATTAAATATTGACTTAGTACAAATGTATATAACTGGTTAGAATGTTATCCAAAGTAGCTAGGCTTGATCAGAAGCGTACAATCATATATAAATCGATCATGATCTTTCACAGGCATTACCTTCCTATATTTAGAATTTTGGATAGCGATCATTAGCGAAACAGCGAAAGTTTCGGCAGGATTGTTGTATTTTAGAGCATTGTACATACTTACCATGTAGAATAGGAACATATGAAATGAATGATAATAATAAAGAACTAACCTTTGAAAAATTGTGTGTCCTCGTTTGAATAAGTTGAATTACATGTCCTGTTCATAGAGGGTGAGTCGGGTTACTTGTTGTGTTTTGAATAAATATAATAATTCTAACCTGTCCGGTATACTGGACAAGTGGGGTGCTTCATTTTGAAAAAAAAGTATATTGCAATCATGGCAGTCACCCTCGAGTTTGATCCATAAACCCAAAATATGTGCTTTAAAATATTATCAAAGAAAGGAAGCTCATGTCTGCTTCGAAAAGTGAAAAAAAAATCGATGTACTTCAGAGTGCCACCTAGCGGTGGAAAGTACGATTTTTACACGGAAAATGTTGGTACACTGTACCAAACCACCGTCCTCTGTTCGAATGAAACCTCAGACCATTCAAATCAAAACATCTAAATCGCCTTTTCGAATGATAGCTGCAACCGGAGGACGGTTGTTTTGAAATCAGATGATTTTCCTCTCGAATACAGGATGAACATTGTTATGAAAAGGGATAGGGCCTTCAGTTGGAATGCGTTATGCTCTCTGCAGAATGGGAGTCATTTTAAACAAGGTTGCAAATACTCATTTCAGCTAAAATAATGTTTTTCGCAAGGTTGCAAATTCTCATTTTAGCTAAAACAATGTTTTTTTTTCAATTATGAAATAATTGGATGTCATGATCATATTTTTAAATGGTAGGATACAAGAAGAGGTTGCAAAGAATGTGTTTGACATATTAAACCTGTTTATTTCACTTCATGAGAGTCACATTCAGCTATTTTTAACACACTCACTCACTCACTCACTCACTTAGCGATCAGAAAATCGCTGATTGTGACTCATAGAAAGCAAAATTGACAGGTTTTAGGTTTCAAATGCATACTTTGTATCCTCTTCTTGTAAGTTACAAGTAAAACATGCCATCATACCATCTTTTGGTTTTATTATCCCGAAAAACATTATTTAAGCTGAAATGAATATTTGCAATCCTTTTTTTCGGAATAATAAAACCAAAAGATGGTATGATGACATGTTTTACTTGTAACTTACAAGAAGAGGTTACACAGTATGCGTTTGAAACATAAAACCTGTAATTTTTGCTTTCTATGAGTCACAATCAGTGATTTGCTGATCGCTGAGTGAGTGAGTGAGTGAGTGTGTGAAAAATCGCTGATTGTGACTCTCATGAAGTGAAATAAACAGGTTTAATATGTCAAACACATTCTTTGCAACCTCTTCTTGTATCTTACTTATTCAAAATATGATAATAGCATCTAATTATTTCATAATTAAAAAAAAACATTGCTTTAGGTGAAATGAGTATTTGGAACCTTGAAATTGAAATTAATTTGGTATTGGCTCAGCCCCTTAACGCAAATCATTCCAAACGATGATGTAAATAATATTTTCGGACGTCATTTGTTGCTCTGAGCAGACAAACGAGGTGGAAGCATAGCCATCGCTATCAGAGGTAGTACGAGCTTTGGGAAAGCGTGGAAACTGTGGTGGAGGAAGTTTCCTCTACCAACCAAAAAGAAATTTTTGTATCCATTATGAATGGCTGTTCGTGGCTATTCACGGGAAATTTAAACAATCGAATTAATAATCTAATCTAAAGCATTTTCAAGTCATCCTATCCTTAAATTGTAGTCCTCTGATCCCTGTATGTTTTACAGCCAATTTTCAAATAAATATCATCCTTTATTTGGAGGACAGTCATATGGCTGCTCGTCAGTTGATGACGAATTCAACCATAAGAAAATCTCGCGTCACTTTTCAAATAGACCAATGTAACATATCCACCATTTTGAGAAAATACTAGATTCCCTTTCACAGATGTCATAGTAGAGTACCTAACTTTAGATTGCCCCCGTCCGAATGACCGAAGTAACGAACATGTACCCATCATTTCAAACTATACATTGGACATTTTTTTACCTATGATTATCTTAAATAAATGAAAGTAAATTTGGATGGATGTTTTTGTATCACATACAATGATAGAAGAGCAATAGTTTGTATCGCTTAACTCGATTTTTTTACATTTGTTACATTGGTCTATTTGAAAAGTGACGCGAGAAATCATCTGAAATTCGATAGCATATACGTTAAACCTAAGTTAACCAATATGGCATCTGTTGGTAAGGTCTGAAGAAAACATAGAGGGGAAATGGATGTAATGTCAGCATAAATGTCGACTAAATTTTCAATATCGACCAAAAACATCCATTAGTACCGTTCCAATGAAACGTTCATCTAGATAAAATGGATAACTAGCAGATTTTTAGCGATGAGCCCAATCTTAGATCCATAGGCCAACATTAGAGCCATTTCCCTTATGCTCCGAAAATCTGATGGTATCTTAGATTTGTGGATAAACAAGCACAGCTAAAATTAAGACCATGCTGGAGATGGCTGTGTTCTCATTCCGGTCCAGTCAAGAAATTTTCGGGTTGAAAAACTTCTCGACTTCTTTGGGAATAGGGTATGATTTGGTATGATTGTGCTGTCATTTTCAATACGGTTACTTGTGTACACTGGCAATTTTAGGCAGCTTCTGCCAAGTGTTTTCCCAACACAGGATCGCAGTTATCCACAAACTATCATAGCAGTTTTTTGGTGATCCAGTTCTTGGTCGATACCCTTCCTGGCTTTGAAATTCTTCCAAGCTTCCATACTACCAACATGGGTATCACTGCGATTGTGTTTGCCCAGCAGCTCGGTCGCTTTCTTCCAATTTCTGAACCCTGTAGGAATCGTTGTAATAAAGTTTTGCGTCATACTCTTCTTTATAGATTAAAAACACAGACAAACAGATATAACACTCGCAAGTTGTTCATCGAACAAGCATTTAACGGTCAATTTGAAAGTATCGTAGTTGGTAGTACCGCCACTTGTGGCGCGCATAGTCAATTCCCTTGCGTTTGACGTTTACACACTACCGCCATCTGTTCAGCGTACTACCCACCACAGTGTACTCAACAGATGGCGGTAATGTTTTAGTGACGATGTTTTACAGTGAGAAATATTCAATGTGTTATGTCTGTTTGTCTGTGTTAAAAATATAAACCAAAGAAAGTATATTCTTCAATGTACTGGTAGGTATCATCTTTTATTCAGTTACCTTTCTGAAATTTTGTGCAGTACGTTTTTGTATATTTTAAAGGCATCGTTTCCTCAAAATCCCTTTGGAATGTCACTCAAACTTTAATTTTCTTTTAATTTTTAATCAGGATTCACTAGAAATTATTCGCAGAATTTTCTTGGAACACTCCCCAGAAATCCTTTGGAACTGTCCTCAGAATTCCTTGAGGTTCTTCTCGGATTTTGTTAGAACTTTTTTTTTCTCAGAATACCTTGGAACTGAAGTTCCCCTAAAGTTTCAGAAGAATTTCCTCTGTATTCTCCAGAAATTCTTCCCAGAATGAGCTTGAAATTATCCTCGGAATTCCCTTGAAATTTTCCTCAGCATACTTTTGGAATTTCATTCAAAATTTGATTCTATCGGTATTCTTTTCGAAATTATCTTGGAACTATCTACAGGATTCACTAAAAATTATTCGAAGAATTTTCATGGATTCATCCCCAGAAATCTGTTCTTTTGGAACTGTCCTCAGAATTCAATACCCTTGAGGTTCTTCTCGAAAGTCAAGTTTAAGTTGTCCGTCCATTCACCAAAACGTTGTAGTTTTTCTACCAGAAATGTTCAATAAAGCTTGCCCCTGCATTCACCAGAACTGTGCAATTTTTACATCAGGAATTTTCAATTCAGCTTTGCCCCTCCGTGCAGTAGATTGTTGTGAATCTTACACCAGAAATTTTCAATACAAACTTGCCCCCAGGAAATTTTACACCAGAAAATTTCAATTGACCAGAACGATGCAAATTTTCCACCGTTAATGTTCAATAAAAATTGCTTCTCCAATCTTCTGATTTTTTTTTTCATATTCCACCAGACATTTTCAAGCTGGCTTCCCTATCATCAGAATGTTGCAGGTTTTCCACCAAATAAAGCTTGCCCCTATTTTCGGATTTTTCATCATAAATTTTCAGTAAAGCAGCTTCCCTCCAATCATCAGAATGGTGCAACTTTTACAACAGAAATTTTCAAGAAAGCTTAATTTTAAATAAAGCTTATACGTACCTTCATTTACCAGACAAGTGCAAGTTTTCCACCAGAAATTTCTGTTCATTTCATTTATCTGAGCGATGACATTTTCAATGAAGCATGCTCCTCCATTCACCAGAACAGTGCACCAAAAATTGTCAGTGAAGTTTGTTTCACCATGCACCTTTGTGGTGCAATTTTCAGGCTTTGCTTCTTCATGCACCATAATGGTGCAAATTTTCCACCATAAATTCTCAATGAAGCTTGCATTCATCAGAACGATACAAATTATGCACCAGAAAATGAAGAATCATTGTTTCTACATTCCCCACAGTGTTGCGAACTTTCCACCAGAAATTTTCAGTCAAATGTGCACCTTCAAATTTTTAGCGAGATTCAATTTTTCCACCAGAGTTATTCATTTTGTTTAGTCCCTCCATGCACCACCTTGATGATATTTTTACACCAGAAATATTAAATAAAAAGCTTTTTCTTCGATTTACTACCACGAGGTAAGTTTTTTCAACCTTAAATTTACCCTCTTCTTTTAACCCTTGAAAAAAAAATTACTTTAGAAAATTTTTGTATGCACCACTGTGCAATTTGTTGAACAAAAAATTCCATTGAAGTTTGTTCCTTCACTCGTTCCTTCATGCATCTTTGTGGTGCAATTTTCAGGCACCATCCGAGGCACCATCTGAAGCACCATCTCTAAGGAATTGACGCAATAAAAGTTTTTAGTTCCATTATATTATGAAGAGAATTTATTTTACCTTCAAATCAAGTTATCAAGAAATCAAGTTATTTTACATTCTAATTTTGTAAATGTGAAAATAAAAATCTAATTAATAAAAGGGGGCAATTGGCCCTCCACACCCCCACCTTGCCCCACGCTGTACACGCCAGTGATGTGTGGTCACACATGGCTTTTATGTGTACACATAGAGACTTCTATGAATGTATGAAATTAGATCTGACAAAAAAAAGTTAGACAGAGTTTTGTTATGTATTTTCCTCGGATTTTCGCAAACACGCTCTCAAATATCGCACCAATTGAGTTCTCCAAACAGGATCTCACGAACACTACACTAATAATATTATTTTACACACACTAGCGTATCCCGACCAACCATTTCGTTAGTTTTCTTTAATTTTTTATGCATCGATCTTCAAAGCCATTCATAAGAAAAATCGATAGCGATCGTCACCATTTCATGAATAATTGTAAAGATGCTAAAAGTATAACCGTGAATCGTTTATAAAGATCTTTCTCAAAATATTGCTACCAATCGTTACCAATGTTAAAATATCGATTGTGTTGCCAGATCAAAATATCGATTTCTGTTGTAAAATCAAAATATCGATACACAACTGCTGATTTTATTTGTGATTTTTTTATCTGCATGATTTCTAGTTTCGATCCCATGCTGGGGTGTACTGATTTCGTTGTTGGTGGCTAATCCTCGGATCCACAGCTGCTGTTGATGAGCTTATCAACGACAGGCAAACACACTCTAGTATGTGGTGTATTGAAATTTCTGTACATGAATTCAATATTTATATAAATTTATTTGTCATAACCATCAACCAGTCAGCCATGTAATAGTCTCAAAAATGCAATAGAGGTCAACAAGGTATCAATTTTTCTCATTGGGTTCCAAATGCCGAGAATCCCACCACGCATGCTATAACGGGTTATTAAACATATAGACGTAAACTTGAAGAACTACAATTATTGTAAACATTTGCTGCGTCGCGGCCATCGGTCTTCTCGTTCATTTACCGGCAGATTGCTTCTTCCGATGAAATGCCGAATATGTCGATAAATAATATAAACATTGCCATTTGTCACCTGGTGTGTCTCGAACTCTCTTTAAAAAGCGGTGCAAATCGATAACAAGGAGATTATAAATGTGCATCGATAGCAATCTTTGTTGCTCTTTGTCAAAGTTCAAAGTTACGATGATATCAGTATTTAAATATTTATTGATGAATATTTGCAAAGAATACTAAAGTACATGTGACATATCGAAATTAAAAAAAAAAATTAGTATGGCACCTTTATAGATTACTATCATATGACCGATGAAGAAATAATCTATAATGTAAGTATCGATCAATAAAGATTTTTAAATGTGTACATCGAAATCATAGAAAATTTAAAGTAAAGAATTGCCGACATAAATCTTTATTTCTGTATAAAGAACTTTGAAGAAGTTTCACGAATGGTTGGTCGGGATACAGTCATGTGCACGGTAAGAATCAAACTTCCATTTATGAGTAAAAGTGAACCCATTGTCAATAAAAATGGCACTACTAATTAATGAATAACTTATTATACCAGTTAAGTAGTAAAGGCCGGCGCACAATATAGCAATGAAGTACGAAGTGCTATAATTTTGAAAATATTTTACCATATCGTCAGTACTTCAAAAATGTGTTACTTCGTAGGCGTTTTGTAGCCTCAAAATCTCAACCCATTTGATCAAAATAGAGCAACGTTACAACAAGTCACGAACGCTTGTTTCTATCAAAAATGGTCTGTATTTTTTCGCAAAATGGCAAATTCTACGATGATTTTCAGTGCCATCTCCTTGTTGTCCTGCAATCACAGAACAGATAGGTAACATGGGAATCAGAAACGGAGGCATTTAAATTTCAATTGGTAGTGACACCTAGCGGTGGAGAGAACGCTTTTTACACTCAAAATTTATTTACACTTATACCACCTTTTACCATTTATACCAGCTTTACTTGTATATAAAATTCAAACATACCCAAGATTCATATATTGAAAGGTGTGTACACTTCTGTTAGTGCTTATGTATGTAGGAAAGATAAGAACATCTTAATATTTTTTTAGATTATATGCTTGTTTTGAATTCTTCTTCTTCTTCTTCTACTTCGCATTTAAACTTATTGCTTATCGCATATCAGCTTATTGCGTGCTCTAAGCTTAGTTTTCTAGATACACTTCCACAGTTATTTATTGAGAGCTTTCAATGCCGGTATCATTTTACATTAGCATAATTGTGTGGCAAGTACAATTCTACCGAAGACATCATATCAAGAAGACTGGCAACTTTTCCATAATCCAGAAGAGATACTGAAAAAAAAAAGTTGTTGAATATTACATCGAAACTGCTGCAACCAGGTCAATCTATCGGTTGTGCAATATCACATTGTACGATGTACATCGATTTTGCGAACAAAATTACATCCATTGATGTAATATTGTACCTGCTTTTTGCTATTACATCATTATTTCATACATCAGCTTGAATTACGTTGATCGATTTTACATTTTTTTTTGCTGTGTAGCTCTATTACCAAAACAAACTGCGGTGAATAAAGCTGTTTTGCAGTATGGAGATATTAGAAAAATCGGCAATTTCTTTTCAAACATTGCTTCTTGGTATGAGCATTTTTTTGTTTAGTAATTGTTGTGGGTAAGTTTCCAACTCCAGTGAGCAAACCGATTTTGTTGTGCGGTAAGCTTTAAGCTAAAATAAACAATTTATTATATCTTTTCTCTTCAATATTCCTCGCAAACTTACAATTTTGGTGACCTTAGGAAATGTTAGGATCCTATCACGCCTTCACGGGTATTAATTTGGGAATTTACTGTACTGCATATAGGCATATTTAGGTTATGTAACAGCGATAATAATTTCATTTACTTACGATCTAATTATGGTTATAAGTAGCTTTAATATGTTCTAGTTGCGTTGAAGTTCTAACCCATGTAGTAGATGTCCTAAATTAAAGCATAAATCAGCGTAAGAATTCGGTTTCTACCGATTCCAAAGGAATACACATGTTACCTGGTGTAAACAATTCCCGTGATAGCACATATTAGCATTAATCACTAGCATGGGTTTCGTTCTAATTAGTTTACGTAACTGTATTTACTCTAGGTAAGTTAGTTTAAGTTTTAGGATAATCAACTAGACTAACGTTAGACACTTTTACTGTAGGAATATTAAGTTTTTATAGAACTCAATAAATCACTGAACATCTACGATCGATTTCTGAATACCGTATTGTTCCAATGATGTTTACGTTTTTCTCCTTTGTCCCGTCGTTGCCAGAGGATCGTCCGACAGGCCATTGTAGATCGGTCTGTCTCTGCCGGCCACAGTTGAGTTGCGACGGGGGGTCTCGTCGTGACATTCCGCCACCCGTAAACCCTGGTGATGCTCCTGATGCACTGGATCTCCTTGATCAGGTTTACTACTCTCCGAAACGTCGAGAACCGCTAGTTTCACTGCTGGTCGTCGCAGTACTCCAGATGCTGTCCGGACTAGGGCCTGACGGACTCGTCCATCCCGTCCAGGAATAACTTCTTCCACTCGTCCTCGAGTCCACTGGTCCCTCACCGTTCCACTCACTACCAACACCAGATCACCGATTGCTATGTCCCGAACTTCTTCGAACCATTTTCCTCTTCGTGTTATCACTGGCAGATACTCCTTCACCCATCTTGACCAGAACTCGTTGGTGATGGCCTGTGCTAGCTTCCAACTGCTACGCAGGACCGCCGGGCTATTAATAGGTTCGTCCGGCCGGATCTTGTCACCATTGGAAGATCCCAGCAGAAAGTGGTTAGGCGTTAGAGCTTCTTGGTCTGCCGATTCGAGTGGGATGTAGGTGAGCGGTCGCGTGTTGATCATCGCTTCGGTTTCTACGAGAATCGTTTCCAGGACTTCATCACTTGGTCTGCGAGGAGCGTCAGCTACGGCTCCCATTGCCACTTTCACCGATCGAACTAGACGCTCCCACGCTCCACCCATATGTGGAGCCGCTGGTGGAATGAATCTCCATTGAGTATTCGCATTCGTGAACGTAGTAGCTAGAGCGTTGTTCCTTGCCTGTACTTCTTCCCTTTTTAGCTCTCTGCTAGCGCCTTGAAAACATGTTCCGTTGTCCGAGTAGAACTCAGCAGGGGAACCACGACGTGCGATGAAACGGCGCACTGCCATGATGCACGATTCCGTCGATAAACTGTGCACGACCTCCAAGTGCACGGCACGAATAGTGAGGCAGGTAAATAGGGCTACCCATCTTTTCACCTGACTTCTACCTACTTTCACCATTACAGGTCCGAAGTAATCCAATCCGACGTAGGTAAATGGTCGGACGAACGGTTGTAGCCTGGCTTTCGGAAGCGGTGACATTGCGGGAGGACTGGGCATGGCTTTTCTCAGTCGACAAATCATGCAGGTCTTCGACACCTTCGCGATCAGAGCACGAAGCTTGGCGATTTCGAAACGTTGACGCATTTCGTTGGTTACGGTCTCTCGGTTGGCGTGGCGGAAACGGCGGTGGTACCAGTCTGTAAGAAGAAACGTAATTAGGTGTTGCCTGGGAAGGATGGCGGGGTACTTAGCTTCGGTCGGTGCAAAGGATGCGACACCGATTCGACCACGCATCCGAAGTATCCCACGCTCGTCGAGATATGGCCAGTTCTTGTAGATCGAACTTGACTTGGCAACACGGTCGTGTCGCGCTTCGGGAGACCCTTGTGACCCAGAAAGAATGGTGATTTCTTCTGGGAAGGCTTCAGCTTGGGCTACCTTCCATAGTGCTTCTTCTGAACGTTTTAATTCGTGCTGATCGAAGACGCCCAGTTCCAGCTTGGATCCACATCTTTTACGGCGCAGGTTGTTGATGAATCGGAACACGAAAGCCATTGTTCGCTGTAGCGTCGTCCACCGGCTGAATCTGGATACGTCAATTAACTGAGGAGCTGTGTAATGAGTGTGACTTGATCGAAGTTCTTCTTTAGTTGGACTGGCCTGGGATGGTTGAGGCCAGCATTCCTCAGGTTGGTGAAGAAACGCCGGACCACAAAACCATGGATTAGTTGGTAGGAAGTTGGGGCCATTCTTCCATTTGGTAGCGAGGTCGGCAGTGTTCATTTCAGAGGGGACCCATCGCCACTCGCGTGCATCAGTTGCTGTGAGAATTTCACCGATGCGAACGGCAACGAATTTGTTGTAACGACGGTGGTCTGATCGAATCCAGGCTAGTACTGTACTGGAGTCACTCCAAAAAACTCGTCGACTTATGGGATAGGTGTGATAACCTTGGATAGCCTCAAGAAGGTTGATTCCAAGGACAGCAGCCTTCAATTCTAGACGAGGGATTGAAAGAACCTTGAGAGGTGCAACCTTCGTCTTTGCGCTAATGAAGGCCACCTGTATGCCGGATTGAGTTGGAAGCCGGTAGTACGCTACACAAGCGTAGCAGAATCACTGGCATCGACGAATACATGGAGCTCTAGCTGATCGAAATTGTCCGGAAATGGCGTTTGAAAGTAGCACCGTGGAATTCGCAAGGTATCCAGCTGGGGAAAATAACCAATCCAATGTCGCCAACGATCGTACAGTTCCTCGTTCACCGCTTCATCCCAATCGATTCCTGTTGCCCAGATGTTCTGCATCAGCACCTTTCCATGCACTAGGAAGTAGGATACAAAACCCATTGGATCAAATAAACTCATGACGACTTTCAGTACTTCGCGTTTTGTTGGGATGTGGGCTTCGTTGAGGATTGGTTGCAAGTCATTTCGCATTGCAAAGGTATAGGTGAAGACGTCTTCTTTGGGAATCCACCTCATGCCGAGCACGGATTCAGTTGTTTCCGCCCGTATAAGAGAGAGATCCTTCGAGACTTCTGCATCCGCTACTCCGATTTCCCTCAGCACTTCTTCTTCATTGGATAGGAAATTTCGTATTTCGAATCCACCTTTTGAATGGACAAGCTTCACTTCGTTTACCACTTCGATCGCTTCGTGGATCGACCTGAAGCTGTCCAAGTAGTCGTCCACGTAGTGATGGTCCTTGATGGCGGAAGCTGCACGGGGATACTGCTGAGCGAATTCTTCAGCGTTCAAGTTCTTCACGAACTGTGCTGAAGCTGGAGAACAAGTAGACCCAAACATAGTAACGTTGATGACGTAGATTTTCAATGGTTGATCAGGACTGTTGCGGAATACAAACATCTGCGCTTTGCGATCCTTAGATTGTAGCTTGATTTGCAGAAACATCTCCCTGATATCTCCGGATGCAGCAACCGGAAACAAGCGAAAACCACTCAAGACCTTAGGCAGAGAAGTGAGGAGGTCCGGGCCTTTCAAAAGGTGTGAGTTGAACGAAGTCCCATCGACTTTCGCAGCAGCATCCCAAATGAGCCGGATCTTTCCTGGTTTTTTCGGGCTGATGACTACACCTAGCGGAAGGAACCAAGTGTTTCGCGAGTCTATTTCAGCAATTTCTGTTGCACTGGCCTTGTGGATGTATCCTTTACACTCAAATTCCGTTATCTGCTCCTGAACTCGCTGCATCAATGATGGTTCTTTCTGCAGCTTCTTTTCCAAGGACTTCATTCGACGGATGGCCATGGGATAGGTATCCGGGAACTCTCGTGCGTCGACTTTCCACAGTAAACCCGTTTCAAATCCGCATGATGTACGCCGTGTGGTCTCGTTTAGCAATCTTCTTGCTCTCCTGTTATCCTCAGATTCTAGTTTTTCTGAGGTAGTGGATACTCCACAGTTTTCCATCGTGAAGAAATCTCTCAGTTGTTCGTTCAGCATGTAGTCCGCATCGGGCGCAGCAGCAGTGTGGAAGTTGACTGAAGCCCTTGGTGCTGATTGCTTTGATGAACACCCATATATTCCCCAGCCGAGACGACACTTAGCGGCTATTGGATCCTGGGGACCTCCCTCGCGTAGTTTCGGTGGAACTCCAAGTCGAAGATTGTCTAGTCCGATCAGTAATTTTGGTTGGACTAGATCGTGATCCTCTAGTGGCAGGCCTTTGAGGTAAGGAAATCGTTGACTCATGTCACGGTAGTTCAGGCGTTGAGAAGGTAGAACCAGACAGCTCACTGCACGTGCCTGGCAAAGATCGTAACGAGCACTACTGTTTTTCCCCGCTATCTCAAAGTTGATTTGCTGAGACCGCGGCTCCTTGCGTGTCATGTTTCCTGTCCACTGTAGGGTGAGTGGTTTCGTAGGGCCCACAACGCCAAGGTCCTTCGCAACGTTTTCCTCCAGAAGAGTGATTTGTGAGCCTTCGTCGATGAACGCGAAAATAGTTATGCTTTTCTCCTTTCCGTATAAAACTACCGGTAGAATCCGGAATAGTGGTTGATGTTCGTTAGATGAGAGTTGATTCGACGAAATGTTCACGGAATGCGATGACGAGGCGGGATTGGAATTGGAGTGGAGGAGTGTGTGATGTTTCAAACGGCACCCTTCTATTCCACATCCTTTCCATGACTTGCACGGCCATTTTCCGTGGTTGTTCAAGCACGTCCTGCACAAGCCTTTGTCCGTTACTAGTTTCCATCGTTCCTCCATACCTAGCTGCTTGAATTTTACACATTCGGCTATCTTATGGCCTTCATGACTACAAGAACAGCATGTTCGAGCTGATTTGCGTGGATTTCCGATTGCACTGAGCTGCTTGAAGCCGGCAGAATTACCGGAAGAGTGGGTTTGAACCATTGCCCTCTCCTTTGACCGCTGCTTCTCATTTCTCGGGATTTTCTGATACCCAGGAAGCTCGAAACTCACTTCGCTGGCCGCCTTTACCAATCTTTCCATGAACTCCCCAAACGTCAGAACAGTTACTCGAAGTCGTTGGCTCTTAAATGCAGCCCAATCCATCCTCATTGGTCCTGGCAACTTCTCTACCAGTTCCTGCATGAGCATCGGGTTCGAAAGATGGTCTACTTGCTGCGCTGCTTGGAGATGATCAACAAAGTTTTGAACTGCCAGTCCAAATTCGAGGATCGATTCGGGCCGGTCATGTCTAGGGCCTGGTGTCCTGCGGATAGTTTCGAGCAGAGACCTGATGAGTAGTTCCGGGCGTCCATAAAGTGTTCGTAGAGTGTTCATTACTTGTGGCACGCTGGCTGGCAGCAGAAGTCTGCTTCGTACTGCATCTCGAGCATGTCCAACGAGACACCGTTGTAGACGAACGAGGTTTTCAGCATTGGAGTATCCACAAGTAATCGTAGACTGTTCAAAACTGCTGATGAACATCGGCCAGTCCACGGGGTTTCCGTTGAAAGTGGGTAAATCCTTTCCGACCACTTGTCGGGCAGCTATTTGCTGAGAACTAAGAGCACCTGGTGGATCACGTGGCATCGGAGGATCTTGTGGTATCGGAGGATCACGTGGTATCGGAGGATCACGTGGTATCGGCGGGTTGATCAAAGTCCGTGGATAACGTACCGACGGTGGACCACGTGGAAAAGGAGGATTTCTAACTCTCGGTGGACTTTGCTGTCGTGGGGTCCGATTGTAAACCTCTCCATTGTAACTGATTCCATGGTTAGGGCTCGGATAATCCCGATGTCCATCTTCTCTCGAATGGTGATGAAACATTGGAGATGTATGTTGAGGAACAACTGGTTCGGAGACCACCGGAGAACTATGTCGTAAGGGGGTGTTCCATGGACTGCGACGCGGTGACGATGTCATGGAAACTGGATTATCATCGTGTTGAGTGCGTTGACCACAGACCGGCGAGTGATACGGATCTGGTCCGATAGGAGGCCATTTTTCTCGAGGAATAGGTTCCGAGGTTGATATGTATCGACGAAAAGGTTCTCTAACGATGAGTGATGGTATCTCTAGAGGTGGGATTGTGGTTTTCCGAGGTGATGTTCCTGTACATGAGTGAGTTGGTTGAGATATAGATGAAAGGGTACCACGGCAAGTGGGTACATTCACTGACATCGAAGAGACTCCTTCGGGCAGTAGCTCTTCTGGGGCCGGAGGGACCATTCTGGAATTGTTTCCATCTTGTGGTTCCAATTCCTTCCCACCAGTCTTCCCATAAGGTTGATTAACATTCAACCATTCCGTAACTTTTTCTCGTGAGCTTGCTATGGAAGTCACTACACTACCACGTTCCGAAATCTGCAACATGATCTCCGTCCTCTTCTCCAAAGACTCTCTGCGGATAAGCTGCTGTTTCAGCAAATGTGCTTTGTCTACTTCCAGCTTTAGCTGACGCAAACGTAGCTCCTCGTCCAGCAACTTCCGCTTCTCCTCCAACTGGCGTTGTGCTTCTTCGAGCTCGCGTTGTCGGAGTTCTTCTTCCTCCTTGAGCTCTTGTTCCTTTAGTTTAGCCTCTTCCTCTGCCAGTTCTAACTGCTTCTGTACAGCCGACGACCTAGTACTGTTGCTCCGGATAGCCGATTGCGCTTTACTTCCTCTGTCTGAAGACACTTTTACCTCTGACGTCTTGGATGGCCTCCCTTCAGACGTTTTAGTGGACTGGTTACCTCTTGAACGTGGCCGCAGTATTCGGAGGGACGCTGCATTTTCCTCCTGGCACTGCTTACAAATGTATGGACGTCTTTGCACGGCTTGAGTCACGCCGGCACAAATAAAGTGCTCCCATTGACGGCACTGATCACATGCAACCATATGCGTATCTGCCCAATTTGGACGATCGCATGATTTGCATTGATACGTCGATTGGTTGTGATGTCCTTCCATTCCGACAACCCACGTACAAAATTCTTAAAGAATGTTGTGGGTAAGTTTCCAACTCCAGTGAGCAAACCGATTTTGTTGTGCGGTAAGCTTTAAGCTAAAATAAACAATTTATTATATCTTTTCTCTTCAATATTCCTCGCAAACTTACAATTTTGGTGACCTTAGGAAATGTTAGGATCCTATCACGCCTTCACGGGTATTAATTTGGGAATTTACTGTACTGCATATAGGCATATTTAGGTTATGTAACAGCGATAATAATTTCATTTACTTACGATCTAATTATGGTTATAAGTAGCTTTAATATGTTCTAGTTGCGTTGAAGTTCTAACCCATGTAGTAGATGTCCTAAATTAAAGCATAAATCAGCGTAAGAATTCGGTTTCTACCGATTCCAAAGGAATACACATGTTACCTGGTGTAAACAATTCCCGTGATAGCACATATTAGCATTAATCACTAGCATGGGTTTCGTTCTAATTAATTTACGTAACTGTATTTACTCTAGGTAAGTTAGTTTAAGTTTTAGGATAATCAACTAGACTAACGTTAGACACTTTTACTGTAGGAATATTAAGTTTTTATAGAACTCAATAAATCACTGAACATCTACGATCGATTTCTGAATACCGTATTGTTCCAATGATGTTTACGTTTTTCTCCTTTGTCCCGTCGTTGCCAGAGGATCGTCCGACAGGCCATT